ATTAATTAACAAAAAAAAAGAACATGATTTTTTTGGAAGGAATTTTCTAATTTTCTGTTTCAAAAAGGGTGGGTAAATTACAAAAAAAAAAATAAGGATGGAGATTTTGCAGATCAATGAATTAATTTTATATAAATAAGGGTACAAATGTAAACATTCATTATTATTGGACAATAGTTGCCGAGATATTAATATGTTAGTAATCTGCGCCAATGAGCAATGAAATTTGTATATGGGACTGGCCGGGTCACTTATTAAAAAATTGTTATTGAGACGATCAGATCGACAAAAATTTTTTTATTAAAAAATAACATAAAATGTGTTAGTATCAAAAATGTTGAAAAATGATGTAATACTACTAGTATATGTTTGGTTGGTTTTTAAATTCATTGTACGCTGTTTCCAAAGGCGCCAGCAGCAAGCATTAGTTGAAACTGTAGGAGTTTCAGATGTTGTTTATGTACCGCTTTCTCCAGTTTTTTCTTCTTCAATAAAGAAATAATTTCTTCTTCTCCATTATCGATCGAAATATATTCTTCTGCCGATAATGGTGAAGAAAAAGGTAATTCACTGATCAAAATTTCGATTTCATTATTTTAATTGCTTGAAATATTTTTCTATTTTCGTTGGCGTAACACTACTGTTACAAATCAATTATCACGTGAATTCGTTGAAACGCGATTAGTAATTATTAATAAAAAATCGTACGATGCCAAGTCGCTCCAAAAGAATATCATTTATGGTAAAACGGCGGGGAGTTGCGCACTGTAAATGATTTTATATTTTGCATATCAATCAATTTAAATTAAAAAAATATATATATATATTAAAAATTCGTTGTTGCTGTAATACAAAATCTGTTTATTAATAAAAAAAATTCTTAAAATTCAAACAAAAATTCGTTCGTTGAAACGAGGTTAACTGTATTATAACCAGAACTCGGTAATAATTGTCTCAACATACGAATACAGTCAAACCTTGCCACAGCGGATGGATACATAAGAAAATTTTATTTAAAATCCCGTTGTGGCAAGATTACTAATCTCGCCACAACGGATTTTGATATGTTTTATATTAATATGGCAATAATTTCGTGACAAGAATTTAATTATAGTCCGTTGTGGCAAGGTTTGACTGTAAATAGTTTAGTCAATTTAGCCAACTGTTCATTCGAGTTACACGGCAGCCCTGATTATATAAATAATACAACAAGGATTTCAGGGATCAAATCTTAGTAATAATTGTAGACCTCAGACAATTATAATTGAACTGGTATTAACAAAAGTGGGCACAGTACACACTCTCTATAACGACCCTGCCTATAACGACCTCTCTCTATAACGAACTGAGATTTAAAGCCCGATTTTGATTCTAATTCTGATTCTGATTCTAATTCTGATTCTAATTCTAATTCTAATTCAGATCCTAATTCAGATTCTATCTCTAATTTTTATAAATTTAACTCTCCATCATTCAATAATAATATTAATAATAATAATAATAATAATAATAATAATAATAATAATAATAATAATAATAATAATAAAGAAATCAGAGGTAGCGGTGTTGGTGCTGAATCTTTTTCTAATAATATTCTCAATACTTTTAATGCTCGTGATCACATCGGCCTTGGAATCGGCGCTAATAGTAGTGGTGGTGGTGGTGGTGGTAGTAGTAGTAGTAGTAGTTTTTATTCTCTTAATGTAACGACGGCACCACATAATATCAACAATGATATCAACAATCATGTCCACAATAATATAAATAATAATACAAATAGTGGCGACAATATTTCCACTACTAGTCCTTTTGCAAAAAAAAATTCTATTACTATTGGTAGTACTATCAGCAATACTATCAGAAATTCTATCGGTGGTATTGATAATTTCAATGCTGCCAATGTTGGTGGCAGTAATAATCCTAGATTAGATGATATGGCTACTCATATAATAACACCAATCAAATTAAAAAATCATCCTGGTATTTTTCATCCCAATAAAAAAATGAGAGCAGAACTAGATGACGATAATTATAACGGAGAAATTTCTTTTACATCAGTAAGTATTATTATTGGCTTTTTTTAAATGAAAAAAAAAAAATTCATTAATATAAATAAAATATACATGTATTTATATATGATTTATATATGTATAATTTCATTAAATGGTGTTTAGAGTATACCCAGAGAATCTGGTTGTAGTTGGTGTAACGAAACTACTCATACCGAAGAAGTATGCGAATCACAGCTCCGTATTCATGAAGTGGTCTGTTTTCTTTTCTTTCCTTTTTATTTTATTCTTTCCTGATATATTTAATTTTTTTGATTGTTTTTTCAATATATTAATACACATAATTTTCATTATATAATAATAATATTGAAGCCTTGGAGACAATATAAATTAGAAGATCCACCAGCAAATCACAGACCTAGAAAAGTATATTGCTTTAAATGTGCAAGTCCAAAACATACTGGTCAAGTGAGTAACTATTTTTGATTATTATTATTGTTGTTGTTGTTATTGTTGTTGTTTTAAGAATAATATTTAATATAATACTCTAATTATTTAGCAATGTGATGTAAGTGTGCCAAGTTATTATCATTCGCATTATTAATTAATTAATAATACTATATTATTATGACGAGGATGATGAATATTGAATAATTATGTATCGAATGTATGGATGTATGGATGTATGGATGCATGGACAAAAATACTAGTTCAATTGGAATTAATTATAAAATCTTTAACAAATGTTCTATTAGATTTATTAGAATAAAAATAATAAAAAATAAATTTTTTAATATTTGCTTAATAAATTTGCTTTTTACAAAGAATTAGCTTCATATTTTATTTATCAGCAGAAGATCAAATATTATTATGCTGCGTAACTAATAAAAAGATCTGTTTTTTTTTAAGAACAAAAATAGAATAGATTATTATTATTATTAAGAAAATAGGGGTTTTTTTTATCGAAGAGAATGGCACAAAGGAAAAGAACGCAGTTATTAGTCTAAAGATTGCGAACTTTTAATGTTTTTCAAATATTAGAGAGCAAATAAATTCGACTTTGGTCAAACATTTATTTATTAAGATTGAAATTACCAGAGTTCAAAGTCATATATACTTCTTTTAGAAGAGGTTATTAATATTGTGATGAATAATTATTTTTGAAGCTTCATAGCAAGAATAAACTTATCTTCTAAATAAAAAATTAAAGACGAGGTGGAATAGTCATTTTATTTTATAGTGAAATCTTAGGCTACGTTAGGAAATGTTTGTTCTTATTTATAAAATCGTTGTCAATGACAGATCAATGAAGTATATTAAATCAGTTAGTGCAGAAATATATACAATAAAGAAAAATAACGCACGTTGCTGTTTTCTGGTGTTATGCAACCCGAGTAATCATAATTTTGAACAAATAGGTCGAAGATCAAGTGGAGCCAACGCTTCTATTCTATA